CACCAAGTCGTCCACCCCCTCGGCCACCCCCACCCCCTCGTCGGTCACCTACAGCCAGCCCGCTGCCCCCACCTCGACCTCGTCGTACGCTCCCCAGCCCGCTTCGTCGTCCAACTCCAAGACTGTCGTCTCGACCCCCGAGTGGTGGGCTGACGTGAACAACGCCTGCGGTGTCAAGCTCGACGCTGCCTCGCTCCCCATCGCCATCTCCTCCTCGGCTCTCCTCGCCGCCGACAAGCTTTCGGACGCTTGCGGCAAGTGGGTCCAGATCAAGAACAACCAGAACGGCAAGGAGCTCTCCCTCCAGGTCGTCAACTACTGGGCCGGTGCCGAGGGTGACGTCGCCCTTGGCGAGGCTTACAAGCGCCTTGCGAACAACTACGAGAACCCCGAGACCATCGAGTCCGTCACCTGGGGCTTCATCGACGGCCAGGGCATCTAAATCCCTCCCGTCCTGCTTCTTCTCAGTCCGGTACCCTCATAGACACGGCAGCGCAGTCGCAGGCGCACGATGCAGTCGTGGGCCCTTTGACAGGGCCCGGGCGCATCGACGCACTCCTGTGTTCGCCTCTTTTCCCAACCTCCCTCTAGATGGCTCTGTTGTTTCTCTCTTCTCTCGTTCTCTCGCATTATGGGCTTAGTATTTGTATCCTACCTTTCATACGCTCGCCGATGTTTTCTCCTTTACTGGAGACCATTCGTGTACACGAGCGATTTCACAGCCCAAGCGCTTCTAGCAAGCCTTGGGCAACCCCTCTGCTTTCGTCTTCTCGTTGCTTTGTCACCGAGTTGCTAATCGAAAAATTGGCGTCCAGCCAAGTATCCCATATATCCAACCTTTTGTGCATGATTGCTTGCTTGCTAGATGGTGTCTTGAGATCATAAGACAGCGCGGCCATTAATTGAGGCCGAGGTGTAGCAGGCCTATCGCCAAATAACGCGGACCGGCCGCGTTTTCAAGAGTGAGGATCGGACAATCGGGAAGATTGAGAACCGATCAGAACAAAGCGAGCGCTGCGGTGCTGCGCGCTGACCGAAAAGCGTGTTCCGATTGGAGGGTTGTGGATTTCGAGGCGCGTGCGCGCAAGAGCGAGAGACAGAGAGAGGCAAGCTTGGTTGAAAATCAATTTGTGAAAATCAGAGTCACACGCGCGCAATTTCGCGGTGCCAAATGAGAGCAAGTGGATTTGGCGGCTTTGCTGTTGAAAGGTCCGCTTCCGGAAGGCGAGCACCACCCTGAGCCGGATCGAAAGGCACCCCTTCTCCCCGCAATCCCACGTCACATCAGCTGTGCTTTCAGAAAGGCATCGTCGGGGCATCATCGCACCGGCATTGTGACATCGCTCTGACAGCCGCTGCACCAGCCCCGCACACGGACATCGGAACGCTTTCAGCATTGCCATCGCCTGCTTCCCGTCCACCACATCAACCCACCATCACCACATCGCTCGTTCGGTGGCGAATCATTCTCCCCCGCGCAATCTAGGACACCACGGCCCATCACAGCGCTCAAGCCTTGACTCTTTTGCTTGTCGCACGAATCGTCCCCTCGAAGTACCTCATAGGACACTATGTTTGCGGCACGCGCGACACGCGCCTCGCCTGCTCGACTGGCGACGAGCGCTCTGCGCAATGGCGCTCTCAGTCGTGCCAGTCGGTCCGTCTACCCCATCGCGTCCACTTCAGGCTCGTCGGCTTCTCTCTCCACCCTGGCTCGCGCCAGCCCAGCTGCTACGGCCGGCTCTTCCCTCGCGCGCGCCTTCTCGACATCTTCGGTGGCTCGTCGCGCCACCCCCATCGAGGAGGGCGACGGAGAGCCTTTCGACCTGACGACCGTCGAGCGTGTCTCGGACGAGGTCGACGTCATCATCGTCGGCGGTGGCCCCGCCGGTCTGAGTGCGGCCATCAAGATCAAGCAGCTCGCCGAGCAGCGCGGCGAGGAGATCCGCGTCGTCGTCCTCGAAAAGGGCCCAGAGGTGGGTAACCACATCCTCTCTGGCGCCGTGATCCAGACGAATGCGCTCGAAGAGCTCTTCCCCGACTGGAAGGAGCTCGGTGCTCCGCTCAACCAGCCCGCGCTCCAGGACCAGATGCGCTTCCTCACCCCCACCGGCTCCATCCCCATGCCGCATCCCCCACAGATGTCCAACAAGGGCAACTACATTGTGTCGCTCTCGCGCGTTGTCTCGTGGCTCGGCGAGCAGGCCGAGGCAGCCGGTGTCGAAATCTATCCCGGCTTTGCTGCCGCTCAGCCTTTGTGGCAGATGGACGACAACGGCAAGCCGATCGGCATCAAGGGCGTCATCACCAACGAGATCGGCCTCGACAAGTCGCGCAAGCCCAAGGACTCGTTCGAGCCAGGCATGGAGTTCCACGCTCCCATCACTCTCTTCGCCGAGGGCGCGCACGGCTCCATGACGCAAAAGATGATCAAGCAGCTCGGCCTGCGTGACCAGGTGGGCGCCGACCCACAGACCTACGGTCTTGGTGTCAAGGAGGTGTGGCGCGTCAAGCCCGAGAAGCACCAGGCCGGTCTCGTGACGCACACGATGGGCTGGCCGCTCGACCCGAGCACCTACGGCGGTAGCTGGATGTACCACATGGAGGACAACATGGTCTCGATCGGTCTCGTCGTGGGCCTCGACTACCAGAACCCCTACCTGAGCCCCTTCCGCGAGTTCCAGCGCATGAAGCACCACCCCTTCTTCAAGGACATCCTCGAGGGTGGAGAGTGTCTCGCCTATGGCGCCAGGACGCTCAACGAGGGTGGCTACCAGTCGATCCCCAAGCTGCATTTCCCTGGTGGTGCGCTCGTTGGCTGTGCTGCCGGATTCCTCAACGTGCCCAAGATCAAGGGCACGCACAACGCCATGAAGTCGGGTATCGTGGCCGCCGAGGCGGTGGTGGAGGCGCTGGCCAAGCGCGCCGAGTCCGGCTCCGAGGAGTCGATCGACCTGGCCGACTACAAGACGCGACTGGACGACACGTACGTGATGAAGGAGCTGTACGAGGTGCGCAACCTGCGCCCTTCGTTCAACGGCCCGCTTGGCTTCTGGGGTGGCCTGATGTACTCGGGCCTTGACTCGATGATCCTCAAGGGTCGTGTGCCCTGGACTTTCCACCACCACGGCGAGGACCACGCACAGACTAAGCCGGCGTCGCAGTGCGAGCCCATCGAGTACCCCAAGCCGGACGGCAAGCTGTCGTTCGACATCCTCACCTCAGTGTCCAGGACGGGCACCAACCACGCCGAGGACCAGCCGGTGCATCTGGTGGTCAAGGACGGCGACTACAAGGGCCACGTCGAGAGGAACGTGGGCACCTTTGAGGGCCCGCTCGGCCGCTGCTGCCCCGCAGGCGTGTACGAGTATGTCGAGGCCGACTCGCCCGACCAGGAGCACGCGCTGGGCCAGAAGCTGGTGATCAACAGCCAGAACTGCATCCACTGCTACACCTGCTCCATCAAGACGCCCGACCAGAGCATCCGATGGGACGTGCCCGAGGGCGGAGGAGGACCCAAGTACTCGATGACCTGATCACTCCTTCACTCCTTTCGCATAATCCTGTCCGTCTTACTCAAATCTACGCATTGAAATCAAACATAGTTGTCGCTAGAAAAATGGGCTGAAGATGGGCTGTGATTGGGACTACAAGTACATGAGGCAAGAGATGGAAGACGGCATGTTGGTGGGGCGAGGAAGCGTGATGGAGTCTATTCCGGCTTGGGGTCAACGACGATGGCAAAGTTGTTGCGGTTGGTGCCTGGGTTGATGTCGCGCTTCTTGAATGCGGTGCCGTCCCAGTCTGCGGAGGCGGCGATGTTTTCCGAGGCCTCTGCAGCGGCCATGCGTTCTGCGAGGGGTTTGGCCTGGAGGAGCCAGCGGGAGAGCTTTGCGGAATCCGACTGCTTGAGCACGTCGAATCCGAGCGAGCTGAGGATGGCGCGGAGGTGCGACTGGTTCATGTAGCGCGAGTTGGTGAGGCAGCTGAGCGGGAGAACGAGGAAGCAGAATCCAGGCACGCCCTCGGCGGTGGGCAGATACTTGTGGACATGACGGAGCATCTCGCCACGCTTCCTCACGTCGCCGACAAAGTTGATGACGAGGCTGAGGGCGACCATGTTGAACTTTTCCTCATCTTTGGTGGGCACGGGGAAGTCGAAGAAGCTGTACTTCTGCACATTTTCGCCTTGCGGATGCAGATCGATCGAGGTGGCATCGACCCAGCGGTACTTGTTGTAGGCGGTGCCTGTGATGGCGCCGACGTCAAGCACGCGGAACTTGGGTTGGTTGCGGTCGTGCTGGTAGACGGTGTTGAGCGCCTCCATGCACCATTTGCTGGTGGGCGTCTGGCCGGCCTTGGCGGAACCGGTGAGCGACCATGCCTGGTACTGCGCCAGACCTCCGAGCGAGTCGAGTCCCGACTGGATCTGGTCCTTCTCTTCCGCCGTTGTCGCCTGCTCGAGCTGCTTCAAGAGCGTGTGAAACTTGGCAATCTTCTCGGCGTGCTCCGCAGGAGGCACCGGAGCAGCCGATCCGTCAACGCTGGCACCGCCATCTTGATCAGCACCGGCGTTGGTCTTGGCCTTGCGCGACTCCTTGAGCGCAGCCTTCTGCACCGCCGTGTTCTGTGCAGCGCCGCCTTTGCGATGCTTGACACCGCCGCGCTTGCCTCGAGGTCGGATGAGCTTGCCCTTCTTGGCTCCGGCAACCTGGACGTCGCCGCTGTCGGCCGCATCAACGGCTGCATCGACGGCTACATCGACAGCTGCAGCGGGCTCGGCCTTCTGGTGCTGCGTAGGCTTCTTTCCCTTGGTTCGCGACATGTTTCCGGCCGAAGGTGCGATAGAGGTGTGGTGGTGCACCGTGAGCGTTGAGTCGGGACAAGCCCTGGACGCCAGTCGATACGAGCACTGACCCTTCTCGACAGGGTCCACTCGACCCCAGCCGGCACAGCACTTGGCTGTTGGCTCCTTCTGGTGCCGCTGCGGGCTGGACAGTGGGATTTTTTTTTGAAAATTTTGGAAGAAAAGAATTGTGCAAGCTCGCCGCGCTGCAATGTCGCGTTCATGAGAGCCCGCTCCACATCGCTCCACCAAAAAGGCAATGAACCGACAGAGCCGGCTGCAACCGCACCTGTCACGGGCGGCTGCTGCTGCTCGGCGGCAGTGGCAGAGATCAGTCCGATCTTCTCGGACGGAGCAGGACCTGAAAATCGACATCCGCACTGCCGCAGATGAGCGCGCATCATCCGCTCAGCAGGCGCAACGGCAATTCACCACGGCCGACCGTTCGCCCTCCATCCCTCCACCACGTTCTCTTCTTTTGTTCACAGTCCAGCCTAGCCCTTCATTCCCCTTGCACCCGCATCGGTACAGAAGGCAGCCACGATGAAGACCTCGCAGATCGTTCTCACCTCGCTCTCCGTGCTCGGCGTCGCGGGCATCGGATACGCCGTCTACTTTGACCACCGCCGTCGCACCGACGCGACATTCCGCAAGAACCTGCGCAAGGAGAGCAAGCGCACCTCCAAGGCCGAAAAGAAGGCAGCCGCAAAGCGCACCCAGCAGGAGGACGGCTTCATCGAGGAGCTCTTACAGGAGGTGCGTGCTCCCGGCGCCTTCCCTTCCGGCGTCGAGGAGCGCGAGCAGTACTTCCTCAAGTATGTCTCGCTCGGCGAGCAGCTCTTCGCCATGGGCACCGACAAGTACCTCGACGCCGCAGCTGCCTTCTTCAAGGCGCTCAAGGTGTACCCGCAGCCCGTCGAGCTCATCATGATCTACCAGAAGGCCGTGCCCAAGGAGGTCTTTGACACCATCATGCGCATCGTCAGCAAGGAGATCGCAACGGGCGGCGCCGCAGAGGGCATGTCGGCTGAGAACCTCGACGAGGTCGATGACGATGGCCCGTCGCAGCTTGAAGCATCCAAGGACGAGGATGACGAGGATGACGACGAGGAGGCTGAAGCCAAGGTCGATGCCGCCGCGACGGAAGACAAGGATGCTTCCGCCGGCGCCGCTTCGGCAACTCCCGCGGCGGCGTCCGCCCCTCGCCAGGGCACTGACAGCGGCACCACCTCGAGCCAGGAGTGGGACACCCTTTCGGCCACCAGCCTCAACGAGACCGGCGTCATGGTCACGCCCAACGCGCCCGCCTCCGCTGCTTCCGAGAGCCCCGACACAAAGGAGGCCGCACCGAAGCCGTCGGCCGACGAGCTCAAGCCGCCCAGCATCGACACCTCCGCCTCCGTCACCCAGTCCAGCACCCAGCAGCCCACCACACCATCCAAGCAGAACTTCACCTCGGGATGGAGCCCCGCCCCTGTCTTTGGTGCCTCCAGCCCGCGCGCCGAGAAGAAGGCGTCCGTGGAGGCCGGCTCGGACGACGAGACCCAGGACAAGTCCGAGTAGGCGCTCATCTGCGCATTCGAGACGCTTTCGCCTCCGCCACAAAAAAGCCGTCGCCCTACCGGCTCTCCTGCCCATCTGCTTCTGCAGCACGTGATGTCGGTGCTAAGTCAGAACAGCATCAGCAGTGGCAGCTGTTGCCGTGCTTGCTAGCTTCTGCATCCCTTCGCTTTGATGCACACCTCTCTCTTCCATCTGCTGTTCCGTAGCCCTTGCCTCTCAGATGTATTGCAGCCTGTATCAACTCTCTTGCTTTTTGCATTATTACGCCCCGCTCATCTCCTCGTGTGCCACTCCTGGCGCCCCAGCACCGCTGAATGAGCGACTCCAAGTGGCTACACTTATTCCTCCGTTGCTTGAATCCGCTCAGACGCTGCATCAGAGGCTGTTTCCAGCGTTGATCCGTCTCCACGCCTGCAACCCACTAAACCCGCAACTGTGTCGAAGCTTTATGAATGCAAATGTGCTTTCTCGCCCGAAAACGCTCGCTCCGGTGGCCAAGTTGGATTAAGGCATGTGGCTTATGTTTCTCAGGCGTCGTCCCCGCGTCGCGCCCTCGAGTTCATGGGGTTTTATCGCAGAAAGCAATTTCTATTAAACCGCGAGATCGTGGGTTCGAGTCCCACTCGGAGCAACTATTTTTGAAAATACCTTTGCCTTCCGTGTTCGCGTGCCGCCACAAAATAAGAGAGAAATTGTTAGGCCTCTGTCTGCAGATTCGCGCACGAATCCGGCGAAGGTCAGAGAAGAAATCCGAACCTGACTGCCGTGCAGATGGAGAAAAGTCGAACGGAAATGACTCCCTTTTTAGTCTCCACAAAGAAACCCGGCAGCAAAATGGTGCACCTAAATCGGCGACTGTTAATAAATTACAGACTGCAGATCAAGCCGATTGTACCCGATGGACGGCTCTTCTCTTTGCTGTCATCTACCTCAATGTACAGCCGCTCTTCATCCGCACCGATTGAGCACTGATCCTGGCCGAGAAGGTGTGCGAAGCACCCACTCGCAGAACTCGGAGGTCGGCCAAAATCACATTTCGTTGGCTGAGAGAGGCAGTGTGGAGGGAAGTGTTGGCGCTACTCCCCCACTTTAGGCCTCTCGAGGCGCACAATTACGTTGGCTGCCTGGCTCAAGAAGAAGAAACGGATCGCTTTGCTGAGCTGAGTCGAGTCAATTCTCGCAAAATCCAGTCTCTTTCAAATTTTGTCGGCTCTGTCGGCTTGCTGTGATCACCAAAGAAATGCACCGAAGCTCCGCCTCCTCGCTGAGCATGCGGTCTGATCCACGCCCCGATCAGGAAGAGCGCAGCCAGTGGCCGTTGCCCCTCCCGCCACCGATTTCTTCCAGGTTCTCTGTGCGCCTCGCTCTGGCCTCCCTGCGAGCTTCTCCCGGTGGCTGTCCGTCTGAGCCCGGCTCGTTTCGCTGCGCCTCGAAACCCGGCTCCAACTCCACCCGCATTTTTCTTCCTTCTTATTCGTCACGTCTCAGCGTACACTCGTCCGCCCGCCCCCAATCAGCTCAGCACCCGCACTCAGCACTGCGATTTTTCCCTTTGCCGCTCAATACCCCGTTCAACCCCCTTCTCTCCTCTCTCTCCTCCATCACCGTTCCGTTTCATACCCCCCCTCCGCATCTCGTACACAGCCATGTTCTCTCGTGGTATCCGCGCCGCCGCCCCGGCAACAAGGCTGTTGAACCAGCCCCTGCGCTCCGCCGCCCCCGGTGTTGCCGTAAGTGCTGCCATGCGAACAGGCAACGTCAGCGAAGTCCGCAACGCGTGCATCGCCTCGTGACGCACGCTCGCCTCTTTGGTCCGGTCGGCGAGGAACGAGTACTGACCCGATCATCCTCTCTGTGGACTTTATGTTCTGCTTTGTTTCTGGCTTTCACAGCGTCTGGCACCCGTTGGCGCCCGATTCAACTCTGGCAAGGTCTCCGGCCCTGTCATCGGTATCGACCTGGGAAGTGAGTATTTTGCGTTTCTAGCAGAAGACGCTGAATTGACGGGAAACCGCCGTTCGGAAGCTTCAGTAGCGAGCACAGGTTGCTTGCCTCCATTTGCGTCGAGAAGAAGCGAAAACTGACGCTTGTTGCCCGCTCCGTCTCTCCGTCAAAATAGCCACCAACTCGTGTGTCTCTGTCATGGAGGGCCAGCAGGCCCGTGTCATCGAGAACTCGGAAGGTGGCCGCACCACCCCTTCCGTCGTCGCCTTCACCAAGGATGGCGAGCGTCTCGTTGGTCTTCCCGCCAAGCGCCAGGCTGTCGTCAACCCCGAGGCCACCCTTTTCGCCACCAAGCGTCTCATCGGCCGCAAGTTCCAGGACAAGGAGGTCCAGAAGGACCTTAACAACGTCCCCTTCAAGATCGTTCCCCACTCCAACGGCGATGCCTGGCTCGAGGCCCGTGGCGAGAAGTACTCGCCCTCGCAGATTGGTGCTTTCGTCGTCGGCAAGATGAAGGAGACCGCTTCCGGCTACCTCGGCAAGCCCGTCAAGCACGCCGTTATCACCGTCCCCGCCTACTTCAACGACTCGCAGCGTC